ATGTGTATTATAATCTAAGAGTTGTTGAATAAATATTATCTGGAAACTACAATAGAATATAACAGACAAAGGCTTAGAAATTAGTTTGAAAATAACCTTGACCCACAGAAAATTAAAGTGGTAGATTTCCTAAAGGAGCTGTTTTAAATATTCATGATGATAAGTTCAGTTCTTTTACTTTTTGGTTAAAGTAAATCTACTGGTTGCCAAACTCCTGAATTATACCTTCTAACAGAACTTTTTACTAAACATGAACGTGTATAATCAGAAAAACATGTTCCTAACTAGGAAAACTTCTCTTTAGATATATTCTGCCAAAATATTACTTACTTAAACAATCTGTTACATTGTATATAATCTTCAACTCTGCAGATGGCTGGATTCCTTAATATTGTCTGTCTATAATTTTAAGAAGTACTACAGTACACATTAGGGATTTTATGTGCTATAAAAAATGGAAGATTCTTTATAAACAACTTACTCCCAAAGTAAGTTGTTACTTATTTATTATTATTATTAAAGCAATAATAATGGTATCAGAAATTACAGACTATTCTAAATGTGAGATATTAATGAGAATCACTACCTAAAAAGTATTATACTTTCTCCCAATATTTCTTTGACTAATACAAGCAGATAGGCCCCATGAGGTAAGAACTGGAAAACATACACTAGATTCGGCAATTAAGAAGTAGGTCCCTGCTTACCTTAATGAGAACAATTTCAACAGTGGTGGAAAATAGTCAGATTATACCTTGTTAAGAAATCAACAGAATGAAAATGAAGACAAAAAGCGGAAACTACTCTCCTGAGAAATTTGGATAAGAAGACAAAGAAAGAGTACAAAGTAACTAAAGGGGAACACACTTGTTTTAGTTTTGATTAGATAAGAGCAATTCAATAGGTTTATATTTAAGGAGAAGAAATCAAAAGGAGAAATTCAAGACAAAAAAAAGGAATGGTGTTGATAGAAGGAAGGAATAAACAAAGCAGGCTTGGGCACCAGTATTTAGGTGGCCTTGAACAGAAGGAAAGTTCTCTGCTAAAGTTCAAAGAAAGAAAGTAAGGCTCTAATTTGGAAGAAAAGTACACAGAAGCCTTTCTTAACATTAACTGTCTTGACTCAAGAGACAAAGTTGACTATTGAGGGAGAACAGAATAGGAAAAAGGAAAACATGTGGAAAGTGTTGAAGTTTGTAATGCTTAAGCAAAGTGATAAAAGCAGACAACCAAAGACGAGTAAATGATAGTGACATTAAACACACACATACATATACACACACCATATAATACTTTGAAATGTACTTTTAGTCACTGTTCTTAAAACTACATTAGGGACTTCCACTTCTGGTCAAGAAGGTATAACAAGGACCAGTTGACTTTCCTATCTGAAACATGCACACAAATGGACACAATATAAGAAATAATGACTTGTCAAGACACTTCACATCATGGCACAAAGGACATGATTCCCCAAGAAACAGGAAACAAATGAAGTGAATCTTAAGGTTAACCTAGCTTATTTTCTTGGAGGAGTTTCCAGGCCATGGCACGTGAAGGGATAACAGAGCCCCAAATTAGGAAGACAAAGCAACTAAGACTGCACAGGATAATGTACCAGATAGCAGAAATGCACAGAGAATTCCAGAGATCTGCAAAGGATTTACCTTGCATATTCAGTATAACTCAGCATATGTGTATGTGAAAATTCCTAGAGTCTGGGAGAAAAAAACACCCAAAAGATTAGAGGGGGGAATACCTGTTACTTGTATAAGACTAGGAATAATGTCTGTTCCCCAACACTAGGCTGGAAAGCTTCTTAGTTTACTAGTTATTTGGTAGGGTACTAAGAAGAGTTTTGTCTCAGTAATGGGAAACAATTAGACCACTATTCCAATTTTGCAATATGTATGTTGTGCATGTATATATAATATATGTATATACATACATATGCAGTGCTAGGATTGAACTCAAGGCTTTGTGTGCTAGGCAGGTACTCTACCACTTGAGACATGCCTCCAGCCCCAATTTTGCTAACAAACTTTTTTCTTTTTTTTGGTAGTACTGAGGTTTAAACTCAGGGCTTCATACTTGCTAGGCAGGCACTCTATTACTTGAGCCCTCTGTCATTCCTTTTTTATTTTGGGTATGTTTGAGATAGGATCTTGAGAACTATTTGCCTGGGCTGGCTTCCAACTGCAGTCTTCCTGATCTCTGCCCCTGACAAATAGGATTACAGGTGTGAGCCACCAGCACCTGGCATTTACTAATAAAGTTTAATACCAAAACTCAAAAGGATCAAGCAGTGTTTAAGTAATCAAATGGCATTAGACAGTAAGAATACTTATAGGAAGACAAAGATAGATAGTACCATGCAAGGCTTAAATTCAGTGTATGATAGCCAATAAAAAATTATTAGACATGCAAAGAACTAGGAAAACATGATCCACATGAGAAGAAAATTTAAACAAACAAGAGGAAGCTAAAACAAAGATATTTTACTTCTAGATTTCCATTTACTTCCAGATTTACACTTTCTTATTATTTGGGGCAGTTTGTTGCAATGAAGTTTACCTTATAAAATTTCTACTAAAAATGTGTCAAGCCAATCAATAAAAAACATTGGAAGGTGTAATGGTCAAAGGTTTGAGACTTTCCAAGTGTATTAATGGCTTTCTTGGGTAGATTACTGTCATACTACAAGAAATACTCAAAATACAAGTTAAATTTATTCATCACAAAAAGAAAAGGTGTCTATGACAACCCCAAGGTTCTAAAGAAGTTTTGACAACAGATACATTACAGCAACTATAAATAGGCTTTTTTGAGGAGGGTTTAAACAATAGAAATTTATTTCTGACAGTTTTGGAGGCTACAAAGTCAAGATAAAGGTTCTAACAGTTCATTTTCTCTTTCTGGGTTGTTTATGACTGTCTTCTTGCCAAGAGATCTCATGGCTTTTCCTTAGTGTGTGTGTACAGAGAGAGCTAGCAGGCTCTCAAGTGTCCCTTTTTATTAGGATGTAAAATCCTGTAAGATCAGGTCTTCACCCTTGTGACTTCATTTAACCTTAATTTGTTCCAAAAAGGCTCTATCTCCAAATACAGTCAGTCACACTAAGGGTTTGGGCTTCAACATATTAATTTGGGAGGACACAAATTTAGCCCACAACAAACATGTTTTGACTATTTTCAACAATTATTTCTTCTAACTTTTCTTTTCTTCTCTCTCAGATCTGAGACTCCAATGTTAGACTACTTAGTATGTCCCATAGATCTGAAGATTCTGATCATTCTTTAAGCTTATTTTGTTTCCTCTGAATCATCATTATCCTTCAGAGAACAGGAAACACTTTGGTGTTATAGAATTATAGCAGGTTGTAAATAAACATGCACATCCATGTTTATTGCGGCACTATTCACAATAGCCAAGTTATGGAAACAGCCAAGATGCCCCACCACTGACGAATGGATTAAGAAAATGTGGTATCTATACACAATGGAATTTTATGCAGCCATGAAGAAGAACGAAATGTTATCATTCGCTGGTAAATGGATGGAATTGGAGAACATCATTCTGAGTGAGGTTAGCCTGGCCCAAAAGAACAAAAATCGTATGTTCTCCTTCATATGTGGACATTAGATCAAGGGCAAACACAACAAGGGGATTGGACTATGAGCACATGATAAAAGCGAGAGCACACAAGGGAGGGGTGAGGATAGGTAAGACACCTAAAAAACTAGCTAGCATTTGTTGCCCTTAATGCAGAGAAACTAAAGCAGATACCTTAAAGCAACTGAGGCCAATAGGAAAAGGGGACCAGGAACTAGAGAAAAGGTTAGATCAAAAAGAATTAACCTAGAAGGTAACACCCACGCACAGGAAATCAATGTGAGTCAATGCCCTATATAGCTATCCTTATCTCAACCAGCAAAACCCCTTGTTCCTTCCTATTATTGCTTATACTCTCTCTACAACAAAATTAGAGATAAGGGCAAAATAGTTTCTGCTGGGTATTGAGGGGGGGGAGCGGGAGGGGGTGGAGTGGGTGGTAAGGGAGGGGGTGGGGGCAGGGGGAGAAATGAACCAAGCCTTGTATGCACATATGAATAATAAAAGAAAAATGAAAAAAAACAGCCTAGGTACAGTCAATGCTCTAACATCCAGGAATTAAACAAATACTTGTAATAACTGGTATCGCACATTTCGTTCTGTCCAACTATCCTCTACCATGATTTCAAGACATACATTAACAATGTTTTGTGAGCCAGGTGTGATGGCAAACCCCTGTAATCTCAGCACTCAGGTGGCTACGGCAGTAGAATTGAGAGTTCCAGGTCAGCTGGGCTTAACAGTAAGACCTTGTGTCAAAAAACAAAAAAGGAAGAGAGGGAGAGAGGGGAGAAGGCAAGGAGAGAAGGAAAGGAGAGAGAAAGGGAGAGAAGGAGCTTTTTCTGTGGATCATATTCAAGTAATCAATTTTTTTGGTTAGTTTTGAGGATTTTTTATTTCTGATACACAGGTCTTACTATTTAGCCCAGGCTGACCTAGAACTCACAATCTTCCTGCCTCAGCCTCCCAAATGATACACTTTTAATTCAGGATGCAAATATTTCACATATACCTTTATTGTTTCTATTAATAAGGAAAAGACTTTAAGATAAAATCATCTAGATAGGAATTGAATAACTCTAAAGCATAAACTAAATTTGTCAAACATCAATTGCTTCCCACACTCTGCACTGGAAAAATTTAGAGTTTTTATAGTGCTTGAATTATGGAAAATTAACTTTGTTATCTGGAGAATTTTATTCTAAATATTAATTGTAAAGCTGATTAAATAGCCAAAATTTCAGCTTATACATCTAAAAGAAATGACAATTACTCAGTTTTAATAAAATGTTTTGTAAAGCAATAAAGTAAAACTTTTTGATATAAAATTTTAAAGTAACTAAAATTTTTGAAATGAATCTGCAAAATTCAACAAACTGTGAACTTACAGTTTGTTGCCACATGAAATTGAGAAGAAAGTGCCTGAGTAACTGAATTCCAAAATGTGTATAAAATTTCAGGTTGTCCATCCTGTAAATCAAACAAACAAATAAAAAAGAATGCATTTATGAATGTTTAACAGATAAGATGTAACAAAGGAAGTTAATCTAAATTTTAGACATCTAACTATCAAACAATGGAATTATCAAGTAACCAAGTGGCAAGATATAGATGATTTATATTATGTCTCATGTCAAAGTAATTAGTCATTATCCAGTCTGCCCTTATTCACTAAATGACATTGGGGAAGATGCTGACCATCCTGCATGCACACTCATTATCTCATCTGTAAAATGGAAATGGCAATCGCACCACTGCTGGAGGATTATTATGAGGATTAAAGAAGTTAATAAAAGACGAAGACACTAGGACATGACATATAATAAACCTTCAATGAATGTTAGCTCTTGTTAGTATAACTATTATTATTATCATGTTTTGATATACAGAAGGCAATTTATATAACCATAACAAAATGATGGACAAACATGCTTAGGTCTACAACGACTAACAGGAAATAATTCACCATTACAAAAGAGAATGGTTGAAGCCTAGATATAATTTTAAAAAACAAAAACCAAACATCACCAGAATTAGGATATTTTCATTTAACTTTGAACATGTTTTAGAAAACAGTCACTAAAAAGAAACAGCAAAAATTAATACAAGCATCATTTCTTTAAAAAGTATCTGAATATTATTAAAATGAAATCACGTTCTTAGAAATGTAACAAATTCTTTAAAGTACTTTTATATGTCTGGCATACCATATCAAATTATAGATATTCTACTATTTTTGAAATGCATAAATGCCAATTTCATATGGTTTAAGGTAAGTATAAATAAAACATGTTCTAACATTACTATTACTAGTGTCATAAAAATGAAATTCAAATTTTGAATGTTGCAAGTAAACAAAATGGCCAATGAAAAATACTGATTTATGGTTTTTATATCTACGCAATTCTATTTTCATTATTTCTGACTCTAAAAAGTCTAATGAATTTTAATTTACTCTTGTAAGCATTCTATATGATAAAATGGCAAATCGAAGAGTAGTTTATTTCTTATGCAATGATCAGAAAATACATTCAGATTCCCCAGATTTTATGTATTATGTAATCTGTGTCTCATATATCTTTTTTGATGGTACTGGGGCTTTAATTCAGGGCTGTGCTTCCTGGGCAGCAGCCCTACCACTTAAAGAAGTATAATATACCACATTAACAAAATGAAGGACAAAACCGTCAAGCATGATCATCTCAATTAATGTACAAAAATCTTCCAATAAAATCCAACACCAGCTCATGATACAAAAAAACCACTCAAGAAATTAGGACAAGAATGAAATTATAGCAACATAATACAGGCCATATATGAAAAGACTACAGCCACACAAAAATCATTCTCAATTATGCAAATGTGAAAGCTTTCCCTCTAAGATAAGGAAGGAAGCCAAGATGCTACCTTTCACCATTTGTATTCAGCACAATTCTAGAGAATATGAGATGGTGACTAGAGTGCAGAAACAGACAGCATGAGCTCTGTAAATCAACACAATTCTAGAAGTCCTACCAGAGCAACCAGGCAAGAAAAAGAATAAAAAAGCATTCACATTGGAACAGAAGAAGTAAAAGTATATGTTCAAATATGATGTAATCTAGTGTGTAGAAAACTCCAAAGATCCCATAAAAATACCTATTGGAGTAAATTAATGATGTTAAAAACAGTACACAAAAATTAGTTGTATACTAACAACGAGCAATCTCAAAAGGAAATTAACAAAACACTCTCATATATAATAATATATGTCCAAAAGAATAAAATACTTAGGAATAAACTTAACCAAGAAGATAAGACTTGTATACTAAAAGAACACTTGGAAGACTTAGTATCGTTAAAATGTCCATTTTCTGATCATTGCACCTGAAAGTAATCTACAGATTTAAATATCAAGATCCATCTCAAAATCCCAATAACATATTTTGCAGGAAAAAAAAAATTCTAAAACTCTTATGGAATTTCAAGGCCCCAAATATCTAAATACCTACATTGAGAACAAAAAGCAAAGGTAGAGCTATACTTCCTAACTTCAGAACACAATACAAACCTACATTCATCAAAACAGTCTGATACTAGCATAAAGACAGACAAATGGAAAAGATATTCCAACGGAAAAGAATAGAGAGCTCAGAACTAAATGTTCACATATATGGTTATGTGATCTTTGACAAGGGTACCATGACTACACAATAGGGAAAGCATAGTCTCCTCAACAATTATGCTGGGAAAACTGGATATACACATGTAAAAGAATGAAGCTTATACCACATACAAAAATTAACTCAAAATGAACTTAAGACTTAAACCTAAGACTCCAAACTACAAAACTCCTACAGGAAAACAGGAAAAAAAACTTCACGACACTGTATTTCACAACAACCATTAAACACAAACCCCAAAGCACTGGCAAGAAAAGTAAAAATATACAAATGAACATCAAAGTTGAAAACATCTGTGTGGTGTAGGAAACAATCAACAAAATGAAAAGAAAATCTGAAGAGTAAGAAAAAATATTTGCTAGCTGTATACCTGATAAAGGGTTAATATTAGAATAAATTTTAAAAAGGCAAAGATAACAAGTATTGGCAAGCATGTGAAAAAATGCAACTCTTATGCACTGTTAGAAGGAATATAAAATGGTGCAGTCAATATGAAAGACAGTAGGAAGTTTCCTCAAAAAAATTAAATAGAATATGATCCAGTAATCCTACTTCTGGGTATATAGAAGTATACCATATAGCTAGAGATATTTGCATACCCATGTTCACTACAGTATTATTTACAAAAGCCTAGGGGTAGAAGTAACCTAAAACTTCATCAGTAGATGCATGGATCAATAAAATGTAATACATATATAAAATAGAATATTATAGCCAGCCTTAAAAAAAAGAAATCTTGTCATATACTAAAACATGGAAATATATCTTAAGGACATTATACTAGGCAAGTCAATCTCACATGAAGACAAATACTGCCAGATTCTACTACTTTATATAAAGTCATCAAAGTCTTAGGATCAGACACTAGGATGGTGGATGACGAGGGTTGGGGAAGGGGAGAAATTAGAGTTGCTCAATGGATACAGTTTGGGCTTTAGAAGATGAAAACTATCTAGAGATTTTTGCAAAACAAGATATAAAGAATTAACATTATTACACTGTAGAATTACAAATGTTTAAGATGATAAGTTTTATGATTTTTTTTTTACAATAAAAAGAAGTATTTGCCAGGAATGGTGGCACATGCATGTAACCCCAGCACTCAGGAGGCTGAGGCAGTAGAATCATGAGTTCAAGGCCAGTCTATTCTACACAGACTCTGTCTCAAAAGACAAAGAAAAAATAGAAAAGAAGAAGGCATTTTATTACAAGTTGCTATAAATTCTTTAAAATATAAGAACTGAGAGCTGAAGGCATGGCTTGAGTGACAGAGTGCTCGTCTAACAAGCATGCGGTCCTGAGTTCAAACTCCAAAGTACCATCAAAACAGTAATAATAATAATAATAACTGGATATTAAGGTTATTTTATTTCTTTTTCTGCAGTGGAATAAATGCAGATTAAAGTGTATTTCCTTATTTTAGACACTGGGGTATTAACAGATTTCCTAAAATGAAATGATCATTATGTTGATATGAATCCTACCTATTTAAGAAAATAATACAGATAATTATTTTAATACACTATTGAAATTAACTTGCTTTCACATCTGAAACTTTTTATTTACATTCTTAAGATTGATTCAACTTGTCCTTCTGAGTATATGCATGTGTGTAGAAGTACATAGTTGTCTATTTTGAAAGTAAAATAAATGAATAAATGATTTTTAAAAATGAACTATTTATCTTTCTTAGAAAAAGTTATTTTAATATATATTTTAGATCATTATCATAGGATGAGAAATTTTCTCTCCACAGAAATCTGAAGTTATATATATGATATATATCATATATACATATTTATATATGATTTTTAGGGAGGGAGACAGGGTCTAGCTATGTTGCCTAGGCTGGCCATAACTCTTCAGCCTCCAGACTGCAGGGATAATAGATATGCTTACCGTGCCACACATAAAAACACTTTTAAGGTAACATTTTGGTAACTGAAAATGAATACAAATAAAATTACTTTATTCAAATATTTTACTTCTTGAGTTAACTATATTTTCCCTGACAACTACCTATATCATTTCAAATGTAGTAACAGAAAGTTTGTAAGATTCTCTTTATTCCACATACCATTATCATATTTATCTTGAGTTAATGCTATCTCTCTTGCTTTTACTTAAGAAATGTTTATCAATGTTTGCTTTTTGATGTGACTTTAACAAATATAATTCTATCTGTAAACATAATCTTGTCTTTTAATAAGAAAGCATAACCCAAATATGTTTAACTAATAGATTGCTCTTGCTTTCATCATCTCATGTTCCTGTCCACCTCCTTTGTTTTTCACATTTGTTCTGTGCAATCTTTTTGTTTGCTTTTATCTTCCCTCATGGTTTCAGTGCTACAGATTCTGATTTCCAGTCTATCAAAGGTTATATCTTCTTCCCCAAACAATTTTATTCTCATATTTCTCACTTTCAAAAGCAAAAATGAAGATATACCTTCTGAGGTTACTGTTAAAAGAAATTAATTTAGAATTCTAAACTTTAGGAATTCATAAATGATCATTTCCTAAGCATGCTCTAGTTATGCAGGGTTAAGTCTTTAGGTTAATCTCAAGCCACCACCACTTTACCAGTATTTGTGCATTAATATAATGTAGCAGCTAACAGTAGTGAAAGCAAGAAAATACTCATCACAGGTACCATTTATTAAGGGTATTATTATTGCACAACATGGGTCATACTTACAGCACAGTGATCTCCACCATATTTATTTAATAGTAATTCTGGTATCTCTGTAAATAATCTATTACCTTTTAAAATCTACTTTTGTTAAGTACTCATTTCTAAGAATAAACA